TATGTCGCTATCAAAAATGTTTGCAATAATCTTATCATCCGTTACGTTAAATTACGGAGTTGTTACGATTTTTTGCGGGTTATATATTGAAAACAAGGTTTGGTCAACTTCCACCAGAACAAGCCTCTCTGAGCCACTGTTTAAAAAATGGCTTATAGGTGGTTAAAATATCCACTAAAATATTAAACGCCAAATTTTTCTAATGATAACTGAATGTAATGAAAAATAATAGTAATTTTTACGAAAAATGGGGACTTTAACCCTGTGTAGAAGACATTGCGATGCGCGGGACAAACGCTTCCTGGGATTTGACCACCACTTAGGAACAGGGCTTCCAACCATACTTAGCTATGAAGTGCCATATTGAGGATAAAAAAGTGCCAAAATGTGACAAATAGAAAAACAAAAGTGACAAAAAAGGTGCCGTTCTTTATAGTTCTTCCCATTTAGCATTCAAATTAGAATCACATTTCTAAAACAAAAGTCCAATGCCAAAGTAAGATAAACGAGTTGTATACCAGGGAACTGCAATTAGTCGTGTTTTTAAGTAATTGGTTGAATAACACAAGAAATTGTGTTAGTGGATATTATTCATTGCAGAATATTCACACATATGCACTAACACTATTTTACGCTCGGCACACAAACCGAGAGCACATACAATGACTAAGTTCCCTGTTGATATGAATTGGTGTAGTGCTCAATTCTCTCATTGAGCCATTAAAAAAATTAGTTATACCGAAATGAGTAGGAGCACTAGGAAGCACCAATAGTTCAGTTGAGTGATTTTCGTCGTTTATAGCAACAAAACATGTACCAACGACGAGAAACCCAGCAAAAATGGGACTAATCCGGGATGACTCCGGGAGCAATCGCAAAGAAACATGCGACTAATACCACTTTTGATCTCTTTATATGGAATGAACTGTACGCATTTGTTCGCGCATGTCCTATGAAGAGACTAATTGTTCACCTTTATACCCGAAAGGGTATAAAAAGCGACTAGTCACTTTTAAAAAATAAAAATAAAACTTTGCGCCAGCTGAGATTCGAACCGGGTTGCTAAGTTTGGTTAGGCGAATACTCTCTCTGTGTGCCAACGCCGCACATGAAATTTCATTGACTAAAGGTCTGATTATGGATACTTCGCATAATTTCGCACAACAATTTGTACCAGTCCAATAAAAATGTAACTTAAGAAAACGTAAAGCAAAATCTAAACTAAACAGATCGCTAAGTTTTTAAAAGTTCTGCTAATTCCTGAGTAATGGAATACATACAAAATACATAAAAAGAACAAACGAAATTACAGTTTGAAGGTTATGCGAAGTTGTGTGAAGTTATGCGAAGTATGCATAATCAGACCATAAAACAGGGATCACACGATTCGTACACAAAATGCCAAATTTAGATTTGTCCACATTTGCGCATTTGGATAGCGATGTACAAATGATTTGTCTTGCGATCAGACGATTTGGCTGCCAAAGATCCAAATGATTTGGCACACATTTGCGCACAGCAGTAAAGTAACAAATATTGTCCACATTCATTCACACGATTTAACCATTTGATCATAAATACTTAAACAGATGATCCGGTGTCAACTATACTTTTGCATTTATGATTTCGTGAGATTTGAAGTGAAATAAACAAAAATAATATATACGCACAGGTACTCAGAATTTTGATTACACCCTCAAAATCTGGGCTGAAGGTAAAAAGGTTGAAGCATATACTTGCTCGTAACTTTATTTCTGTTTGCCCGATGAAAAGTACTTACATATGCCATTTAAGAGAAAACATTTGGTTGTTTACAACCATTTATAAATGGTTAATTTGTCTTGAGAATGGGCACCCTATGTATGTATACTAGTTAACAAAATAGTCGGACAAGTCGTAATTTAAAATGAAAAAAAGTTAAAGATTTAAATTTTGCATATCGATGGCTGAGTGGAAGATCGACCTATCTCGGAAGCCAGTTCAAAAACGCCCTGTCTCTGAAAATTTTTTCAAGCACGTGGTTGAATAACGCCCTATCTCAGAATTCATTTCAAAAACGCCCTATCTCAAACGAAAATACATTGAAAATAAGCTGATATAGGGCGTTTTTGAATCGGCAGCTAAGATAGGGCGTTTTTCAATGAAATTCTGAAGTAGGGCGTTCTTCAAAAGTTTTTTGAGAAAGGGCGTTTTCGAACTGGTTGCCGAGATAGGTCGATCTTCCACTCAGCCATCGATATACTCTGTAAGATTCCTTTCAGTGATCGGACTTCTACCACATTGTTGTAGATCTGCCACTTTTTTGAGCACACCTACCACACAAGTTCTGAAATCTACCTCATATTCGGGTTTTGAGTCGTTTTATTTTTGCTCAACATAATTTTCTTAATTTTAAGAGCAAAAGTTGTCCAACACTAAACACTAACAACCGGCAGAATGGGGGGATAAAATAAACTGTAAAATAGTAAATTTTCTCAATATTCAATTTTTCGACATCAAACATGGTTTTATTGTGTTAAATTGCAAAACATATGATTTATAAAAAGAATTTATAGCGAAAATGATAAAAACCGGCGATTTTTTGAAAGCATTAGCAAATTTCAGTGCATCTCAAATTTCTAAAGCGTTGTTTACTTTTACTTGAGAATTGTCAAAATCGGCAAATCACTAGTAGCATTTCTGGAACGAGCCACATTTGTTCGCTACACCGTGATGTGATAAAAAGAAAAGCTGGCAGCACTCTGCAAGGTTGCAGAAATCTTTCAAAAAATGTTGGAAAATATCTTGATATGAAAGGAACGGCTTTACACGTTCAAGAAACAAAAAAAATTGCTAAAACTCAACGCAATTTTTATCAGCTTCAATCATGCACTTTATTATACTAAAATTAATTTTGTTTTAGATTCTAATTAAAATGTTTGCAATTTAGGAGAAACCTTGCAGATTTTTTTTTTAATTTTTGTACAAAGTTTGATCCAAAACCTGAGATCTACCACATTTTTTTGAAGTCTACCACATTTTTTTTTAAATTCTACCACACAAATTTTTTTTTAAGTCGGATGGCTGATTCCTTTGCTATTTCTTAAGATAAATTATCAATTTAAACATTGTTGTAAGCAGCGAAATGGGTTATCTTGAATCACATAAATAAATACGTATCTTTCACCGGGTAAACAGAAATAAAGTTACGAGCAAGTATACCTGTGCGTCACCCTTTGAAAAACGCGGGTTTTGACCTTAAGCCCAGATTTTGAGGGTGTATTTCAAATTCTGAGTATGCAGATTTTACTGCTTGAATAGACCTACAGCAAGTGTGAACCTCGAAAAAACTATATAAATTTTTTTTGTCACACAGTGTAAATTAGATCGTCTCTAATAATCTGTATATCGTCGTTTAAAGTACAAAACCGCGTGTCAACAAAATGCAAAGCCGCCTATGTGAGGTTGCATAAATTATTATCTAGATAGTAAAAAAACTCATATTTCAAAATGGTTCTCTTTTTTATAAAGCAATCGCATTTCTGGATAGTATATTTCAGAACAATGGATAAGGATTGAGCCAACAGCTTCTGGAAGCAAATCCAATTTTTGGCAGCAAATGTCAGGTACGCGATTTTGCAGAATGACGATACGCGGTTTTGTACTTTATACGACGATATGCATGTATGTATACATATGTGTATAGCCAGCAAAAACTGCGGAAAGAGATCCGAAAACTGAAAGAAAGGTGAATAGTAAAGTGCCACGAAGGGGTGTGAAACGAATACTTTTCCGGTTGGTTTTCTGAAATTTTTCATTCTGAACTTCTATGTTTTTTCATAGTTAATTATACTCAGAAATTAATTACACTTTTAATATGTTCGTCTGCCGGCATAAGAACCTGGAACCTCATGAAGAGTACAAATAGTCGCACGCTTCTCTGCACACTCAGCTACTGTCGAACTTTTCAAATGTTCAGTTTGAGCAAATATTTCAAAATTATTGTTTTCAAATAACGTGATATTTTTCGGTAGTTTTCGGGTACGAATATTATATTAAAATTTTACCAAAATTGGAAAATACAAAGGTTCACAAGCACGAAATGGCAATACCGCTCAACAATATTTGTATATTTGTCACTGGCATTTGTCATCAAGTGGCAAATCAGATATTTGGTCATTTGCGTAATTTTTATTTGGCTTATGTAGCAGCATTGCGTTCACACGATTTGGCCACCAGGGTTGTTTTTCATTTGCCACAAGAAGGCAAATATTTGGCTTTTCTGATAAATGACAAATGTAATTTAGCGTTCACATGATTTG